TACCTTGAAGTGTAAACTTGTTTAATAAACCATATCTTTCATTTTCGATTTTTAATTCACGTAGTCCGGGAACTTTCCGGACAAACTGTGTATTTCTAGAAAAACATCTTTTAACATTTTTACGACACACATACCCTGACGTCCCATGCGCTGACTGCGAATGCTCTTCCGTCCCACGAGACGATCGTAAAGCGATATCTTAAGATTTGGATTGTTCGTTTGCGGGAGACCAGTTTCCGGACTGCTGTAAACGCTGTTGTGTCGGTTTCGCGAAAAGAAACCGCCACCGCTGCTGTACGTGGTCGAGGAACTGCGTACCGAACCCACTCTGGTGATCTGTCGTTGGAACCAGCCATTTTTCTTTCGCTCAACCAACGGAGTGTCCACACTCTCCTGATAAACGCGTAGAGATATTATTCATCACATGTATATTAAAATTCATATAAAATGCACATTTTAATAATGAAAATACATGTATGTTGCAAGCGTTGATAAAAGATATTTGTCGATAAATCTGTGAATAGGAAAGCAAGACCAAAGCTCATTGTTTATGTAAAGTTATTTCGATATGTCTCTCTCTCTCTCTCTCTCTCTCTCGCGCGCGCGCGCGCCTGAATAATTCACTTACGTAATCGGCGTACATATCATCCTGATGAGCCTTGCGATGCTGAGCGTGATTGTGAATCTGCGTACCCAGCATAACGTTTGCATAAAGAGCATCGCTGTCTTTTACTTTGTAATGTTCGGCTGAACCTTTTGGTTCTTCTCGTCGGTACTGCTCGCTGGCAACCGTATATGGCAAATCTTTGGGCACGACTTCGTCCCAGTATTGGTCCTTGAGCAGTTCCGGATGTTCCTCGTGCATTTCGTCAACAATCATGTAGCCGGCCTGTTATTCGGTACAAACATATAATAAAATAACAAATGAGAGAGGAAACAACAAATTTGTTAACGTACGCAACGATGTTTGAAGAAACTACGTGGTATACGAGAAATATAATTAAGATACTCTAAACAATTACGTTTTCATATTGTGCTATTTGGTTTTTACGTTTTTCTACGTGCTATTTACGGACAACAATCGGTCATAAAAATATTGCGAATTGCCTCGATGTAAAACTACAATTTAATGTAATTAATCTATCTCTCTCTCTCTCTCTCTCTTTCTTTTTCTTCCCGCATACCTTAATGTGTCTATCTATCAGCCAGTTCAGCTCAATGTCGTCGTCGTCCTCGCCGAAAGGATTAATCAACACCTCGGCGACTTTCAGCCATCCGACGTAGAAACAAAACTGCAAATTGCACATTGTGTTTATTAAAATGTCTCATCAACTCTTTACGGAAAGGAACCTCCCGCGTATTTGTGAAGATAGCGTTGTTTATTCTAATCACCTGTAGAGTTGTGAAAAATGGGAAATACATGTCCGGGTCCTCGTATTTCCCGTTGGAGTTCTCGACGAATTGTCTGCCCAGCAAAGCCGAGAAAAAATAGGCGTACAACGACAGTGTTACCACCTGAAAATATATCGGGATATGTTTCTTGTGTGACAAAGTTCTTGTTACAGAATCGATAAAGAAAACGCGACACGAGCGCAAATCTTTTTCTCTTGCAATCTCATTCCGTTTAGAAAGGAGAGAACTCGCCTAATGGTATTCTAGACTAGTGTGTGTTGTACAGTTCGCGTGTTTTGTCTCGAGCTCTGATTTTTTAAAAACGAAAGAAAAGAGGAGGAGCACCAGAAGATAATAATATCCACACACCTCCCGGAAGTCACTCGGAGATTCACGAGATCGCCGTTACTTCTTTTGCTGTCATGTGAGTGCGAGTAAAAAACAGGTTTAATGAATGAATATCAAGGTCGTCAGGGGAAAAACGCTACATTTGTCGCCGAAGGTTATCAGCAAACGGTGGTTTATGCTAAAAGTATAGCGCGACTCGTGCATAATAAGAAGAGACAATCGAATTGCGCGTGGACTTTGAACATTTGAGCGTGCAAACCACTTGGTCCGAGCGATTCCTCTCGTATGTAGCGCGAAATCACTTCCGAAGGTGTGACGTATCGCGGTAAAATTACTGTACAACTCTCTTGTCGACCTTGACCATGCAACAGGTATATCGGCTTCGTGTTTCATACGCGATTCGTTTATCCGCGCTCCATTCTGTCGTCTCTTAAAACCTTAAAAATCTTCGTACATACATCGTTTGATTAAATTTTAGAACAATACACACATTTCTCTCTTAATAAAAATTGATTTCCGACCAATACAACAAATACCAAATAATTTCTCATTTGTTCGTAAAATATTTGACATAAAATATCGAAGAGTTATTTAGAAAATAAAAATTAATTAGAGAGATAAAAAAAATATATATATATAGTTCGTTACATGTTGCACGAGGAAAATATTTTACGTATTTTAAAATCATTTGTTACGAGCGAGCGAAAACATTTGCAATGTAAACGCCACATGCAATAACAGCGAGGATTCAAAACGGGTATTAATCTTCGACGGATGTATCATTACGCGGCGAATACTCCGCGGTCGTTACGCGTAATCTTCTTGCGATTTCACGGTGTATGTCGAATCGCGCTATCGTCTTAAGAGAGATTTATATCATGATTTATACATAAAAAAAAAAAAAGACTACGTACAACACCCACTGATTTGCCGGCTTTTCCGAATTAATAGCAACAATGTTGGATGGAGCGATTCTTCGTGGTAATTTCAAATCTTCAATTTCACAAACACTTTTCTGCGAATCGCCTTACATGTATGTAACGTTTTGTATGTGAAATATATTGAGTCAGTGCAAAAGTGCAATTTTGATGAATTTTTGTGATAGAAATTTCGATCAAGTAATTTTATTAAAAACGAATTACTTTTATTCCACCTTCGACCTTCATTGTTTTTTAATTATCTTTTGCTGTTGTTACTACTTGATGAAATGTAAATCAATTGTAAATCAAAACACGAGACTTTACAGCCCTAATCTGAAAATACGTGCAAAATATATAATGTGAATTTTAAAATTGTTCATTCAATTCGAATGTTCAATGTGCTTTAATTTTCACGTTAAAAAAAATACACATACATATTTTGCACATACATCCGCTGGCTATAAAGTTTTAATTCTTGATTTAAGTTTATACTTGTTGAAGCCATATTGTTTATTTGTTTGCAAATTGGTTTCAAAATAAAATTTTTTGATTTATTTTTCAAAATTCATCAAAACTTTTACGTTCTTTCAACATTTCAGAGATATTACTTTAAATAATTTTTTTTAATCAAATATATTTTTAAAATGTAATTTATATGTAAGTAAAGATACAGGTTTTTTGTTTTTCTCTTGCAACATAACTAATTGACATAATTGTCGATAATGATTAAATTAATGAATTAAGAAAAGCGAGTGTTCAAAAGAAGACACAGAAGTGCAAAACGTTCCGCGGCAGAGGTCGAGCGCGGCGCGACTTGTAGTCGCATTACGTTCACCCAGATTTGCGAAATGGCGCAGTCTTTAATTCCTCGAAAATAGCGTTTTCGCTACCCGACAATTAGGAAAGTTGGTTGATGAGCAATTACAATTGCACAACGCATGCATGCAGGCTAATTGTGAACACGAAATACACGTTTGTCCGGGAATGAATCCACTTATTCGCACGAGTTGCAACTAGATTTTATTGTCTTTCAGTTCTCTTCGAAGAGAAAGAATTGAAGCGTTATAATCGCTTGAAGAAAGAGATAATCAAAAAGAAAAATGAAGAACTGATTGAACGTTTAAGCGAGAACGACGTTAAAACTACTTGTCGCGATATGCAAAACGGCGTTAACGGTTTTTCATTTATAACGCTTATCTATTTGTCCACAGTTGAGTTTCGCATGGTTCAGATGTCACACATTGCAAGTAAAATGTAAATAATGCATTGGATACAGTTGTCGAAGAATTACATAATAATGCGTCACGCTCGTGACGCTTGAGGCATGATAATGACACGACCACCGGGTGAATGATGAAGACATTCACGTAACATATTCGACATCTGCCAATGAAGCGTGGCACCATCGTGTAATTGTTCTTTATGTCATTCCATAAGTGCCGACGCGAGAACGAAATGTGATGAAGAAAACGTTAAAAGTGTAATATTTTTCTCTTTTACTTTCTTGTCTCTTGAAGCGCAACGAACAAACCAAGTTTACTGTACGCAACATTTCATTATTCTCGGAAATGGCAGATAAATTTAATACGAAACGTTTACGTTGCTTCGTAGATTTATTGGCGATTTTCCGCGCAACGTATCGTTTAATCGATTACTAATTAATCGAACACCAACACTTGTTGGAAAATTTATTGCTATTGCGGTTGAATATTTGCAATGCAAACTTCAAGAGATGTTTGTTTTCGCGAGTTTTATTCAAGGAGTTTGTAGACACAAACTCTGAACAAATGTTGTCGTGCTTTCGAATTGAAACGCGATTTCGCGAGGATTTCGCTCACCTGAGTGTAGACTAGAGGAACGCAAACTGTATCGTAACCGATCAGTGCGCCAAGCCTCTTCCGTATGTCGCTGAGTTCGACAAGAAGGGTTTGCACGACGTGATCGCTCGTGATCAGAGCCTCTTTCCTCGCCCTGTTGATGATGTTCGTCGCCCAGACAAGCGGCATCCAATATTTGGACATGGCCGCTTTCTTGTTCATCATCTCGAAGATTTTCTTCTCCGATTCCATCATCAGACCTGAGAAAAGCAACGACGAATGAGCGCGAATTTCGTTATTTTTCGTACAATTTTCGAACTGTGTAATTATTATAAAACTTTCTCCCTTGTGAGACGTGTGAAAAATTTTCTCGGCGAAACAGGCGCCATTGTATTTGTAAATATCGCGATTGATATCGCGGGGCAGTAAGTTAGCGAGCTCGCAACGCTCGGCGCGATGCCGCATTTAATTAATAAATCCATCAGCACGGTTCGTTAATCAGATTATCAAATAATCAACATCTTTCGCCGACGCTTTCGCGAGCTCTTCGTGCCGCATACCGGTCGTAGACTCACATGAAATCAAATAGATCTCCAACATAACTATAATAATATATGCTTTGCTGTCTATAATAATTTCCTCGAAACCAAAGTGAAATCACCGTTCGGATGAAGTTTGCTTTATTTCCTGATTAATAACAATAACAATTTGCAACACTTTGACATAAAGTTGCCGTTTTATGCAAATAATAAATTTCTCTCCAAAATGATGATGTCAAATCACATTCAAGAGGTTTAGGTTTACATGCTGAGTTCGAATTTCGCTTTTCTAATTCTTAATAATTATTCAAATTAAAAAAACAAAAAAAACCAATCGCGTTGGCGATCAACGCCGGCGATCGCGCCTTGGTCGATACCAAATAAGAGAAGACGTGTAACAACTTCCGTGTGCAGATTTAGGTTCGAAGTAAAATCAAACGATCGTGACAAAAATCTACTGAAAAAACTGCAATGTGATATTATACAATAAAATTTCTTTCGCAAAACAAATCGAGACGAGGAATCTCTCACGAATCGCGCCGATTAACACCTTCGCGGTGAAAGTGGACGGAATAATGTAATAAATTATTCATACGTCTGTGTGATTGTTACCTCGGGAACTTGAGACAAAAAGATTCGGTGCGCTCCACACATTGCGCTGTTCAATGGTGCATCTTGTAAAATGCGTTCCAATTCGAATTAGATTAAACTCCGTGCGGACTTTGAGACACGACTCTGCAAGTCGTCAGACAAAAACCATGTTAAAAGTCACGGCAACCGCAGCGATCGTCTGTAACTACTTGGCTCGCGATTGGTACCCGATCGTGTAACGGGAACATCCGTAATTTCTCTCGGAGCCGGTTGTTTTTATTGTTTCGAAGCTGAAAGGGTCGCGTTCGCACGGACGCGTAACCATAAAGCCGGGACAATGTTCGAAAAAAATGAGACAACCTTGCTGCGGGCAGCTATCGAAATAACTCGCGGCGTCATTCGTCGACGCAAGTCGCGCGGATCGCGAAGAAAACAGTTCTTCTCGCGATGAAAGAAGCGCTCCACCAGCTCCGGGAACTTGTATATTGCTAATGGCGGCGCGCGTGCTCTTTTATTCAGCAGACGATAGTTGGAGATCGGATACACACCTTAATGGTAAAAACTGACACGGGCAACCATGCGTTTAATTTTATGTTTTATAATGTGATTTATACGTCTCGACACACGCGTATATAACGTTTTCATCAAAGTTTTTTATCACATCCGGATTCGAGAAGTGTATCTCCGCTTCTTTTTCAATTAACGTTGTTTTATTCTTGTATATTTATTAGTTACACATATATTTTTACATGTGCATAAAGATGCGTCTAAGAAACTAACGCAAACGAACGATTTGTTTAGTTTCGAGTAGAAGACATTGATTTTTTTTTTTTTATTTAAACAAGTTGTTATAAAAAATATTGTTTACGTGAATATTCACATGAAATAAAAATGACAAAAAATATCTTATCATTTTGCTGTTGGATTTTTTCAAACGTACGAAATATATCGTGTGCGACAGTTTTGCGAGAAATACACTCGCGGGAGAATATACGAAATAAAATTGCTCGCACGAGCGATCGATCGATTCGATATACAATCGATTTGTCGTCACGCAGCCTTGATATTGTCGTATACGACATCGTGCGCAACGAGCTCGAAAATTTGCAGCCGAGCTACCACCGAAAGTAACGGCCGATAACTCATCGAGAATGACTCATTCGATTGACGCGAATACGTTACCGGTCAGGTAGGACCAGATACATCGAAACGGATGTTGCAAGATATTGTCAACTCTCACCACATGTGCAAAATAAATATTCAAAATACATATGGACGGCAATAAATAAATAACACGTCGATTGATTAATGCGCGATTTATTATTGGAAGAAGAATCGATTTCTTTGTGTACGCTTTCACACTTGATCTTGACTTCCGATTTTTGTGTGAAAAAAATGCGCGACGTTTCTCAAAAAATTTCGAAAGCGTTCGTTGTCGTGAACGTAATTTACATTCTTACACACTTTCACGGATCTTAACGGGCCGGACAAATTCGTGCGAGATGACGTCTCTGCTTGATTCGATACAGACCGTTTTACCGGTCGAGACGAAGTCTGGCGCCAAGGTGCCAATTTTAATGATCCACCAGGAGGTAAGAATTACTCAATGCCGTTAGTATCTGCTAACTAGAAGCAAATCGACGCTAATTAGGAAAGCGCTTGACCGCGCGCGGTTCCCTGACCACGCGCGGTTGTAGTTGTTTACACTAAATTATACAGCTTCGTAAATCGTGATTATCGCATCGGAAAGGAAATCGCGCTCGGTGCAACTCGTGATGATCAATAAAAAAACTTCCATATGCGCATGCAATAAATTCGACTCTCCGCGATCGTTAAATCTCGATTAGCAACCAGCTTTCTTCGCCAGCACTCGAATCGATATAAATAGACACTCAACAGTTGTAGAGCGTGGAATTTAAAAAAAATGCGCTTTGTCATACACGAAAACGTTTCGATACACTCGAGGCTCCCAAATGGAGATATGAGTGTTCACATAAAATTTACTAACTTATAAAAAAAGTCAGTTAAAAAATCAACTGTTTTTCTAATCCTTCAAGGATTAGAAAAACTAGACATGGGTCTCCCAGACCCACTCAAAAATTGCATCAGCGTTTCTAGAAAAAAACTAGATTTTTTTTAAATATTTATATATTCGAAATTACTGAAGATTTTTTCAATTAGTTTTATTGACGTTCAAACTTTTAATTAAAAAAAAAAAAAAAAAATTGAAAAAGTATTCGCGGGTCTCGCAGACCCGGTCTGACCAACTTGTCGTTATTTTTTAAGGCCTGGGGACACGGAAGATTAATTGTAATGTTATAAAAACTTTATATCCGTTTGTTTGGAAATTCGATAATCGGCGAGCGCGCGGGACTGACGCAAAAATTGCATCACGGAATTGTGCTTCGGAAACGAGGAGGAGGAGAATGATTTGCTTTTCAGAATCGATTACGTGGACGATGCGGCTAGGATTCCAGAAAATTGCACCCAGGCGCGAGTCGAGTTTAGCGAGCCTCGTCAAGCAAAACGACCTCGACGAGAGCAAGAAGTGGTCCCGTCCGTTTCTCGAAGGGTGTTTACCTCTTGAGGGAGACCATCGGCTGCAAGACGGGAACGAGCAAGGTGAGGGTACGCGCACACTTCAATGTACGACGACGAATCCGGACGGAGAAAGATTGCTCGGCATGGGGGTCAACAAACGCGGGGATCCTTGCTCGGCTGACAAGGTCGCGATGGTGGAATTTAAAAAAAAAAAAAAAAAAAAAAAAACAAACAAAGTAAAATAAACCGCCTGTTCCCTCTTCTCACACCCTTGCTTGTGCGCCAGCTCCGCCGTGACGACGCTGAAAAAAGCATCCTTCGGAGAAAACCAGTCACTCGTCCGGTCCGTAATTTCTTAAGCGCGGTTTACAACGATAAAAGAGACCGCGAATGCGGATATATTTTTCATAAAAGTGCTGTTAGACGAATACAACAAAATTAACATATCGGGACACTCAGACGGATCGTCTTTGTTTTTTTTTTGTTTTTGAAAAGAACAAAAGAAATGAAATAAAAGACAATATCGATTGATCGAATAAAATTCGCAAGTTCGTTAAAAATCTATCTGCGCATAATTATAAGCTTCTCTCTCGTATATGAATAACGTCGTACTTTCTGTTGCGCCGCCGACACGGTTTTGTGCGGATGTGGAGGGAATAATCAGACTTGGCGCCGCGGTGAAAATGCGCTGATTAGGAAATATTCCCGCGTAATTAGAGTCGAGCAACTTTGAGCGTTGCGGCGGATGCGCGCGTGCTGGCTGTCAATAGACCGTGTCTGCCAAGGAGAAAATCCGCGATGTGCGTTCATGGACGGAGTCAAGACGCGTGTGTATTATCCGCTCACGTGCAACGCCAATCCCCGAGCAATCGCGGCGCGCACAAGGCGCCATTAACGATTTCACTATCATCCGAGCGACAAAAGCTTGTCGCCCGCGAGTCGCCAATATTCTTTATGTGTCTACGAAGAAACTTATGGCAATTTTCATGGTCACGAACAAAATCGCCAGGCTCTCCGTCTACGCGAGCAATGCTCTCTCATTAAAAAAAAAAAAAAAACTTCCTTTAAACTCTGCGTCTCAAATTACAAAGACAAAAATATAAAAAAGATCAACTTTAAGAATGTAATGTAAGTCAATCCATCGTTTAAACTGATTTTTAAAACTATCTGTTGTTGAACTGACTGGGTCTGCGAGACCCATGCGATTTTGAAATCAAACATCTCCGCGAAAAATCAATATTTTTTCAATTTTTTTTAATCAAAAGTTGGAACAATTCTGCGTCGACGAAAACAAGAAGTAAATTGAAAAAATCTCCGGTAGAGTTTCGAAGATTAGAACCGTTAAAAATAGAAAACTAAGTTTAATCAGAGACACCGGTCATTTGAAATTTTTTAGTGGGTCTGGGAGACCCTCGTGTCAGTCTACGAAAGATTGAATTTTGTGCTGCGATTCTAATGGCAATCAACGGTACTTATCTCCGACGGCGTGTAATGCGTGCAAATTTTTCAACCTCACTTTCATAGCACAAGGAATAGAAAGACTCCATTCAAATCGGTTGACATTCAGCAGACTTGATCATTAACCGTAG